AATGACACGTGTACCTGCACGTCTGAAGAACTGAACATTTTAATTGCAAGCTGGACAATGATGCATGTTCTGTATAGTATAATAGTCGGAGTTAACTGTTTGCATGATAGGATAAAAGGTTATTTTATATAGGTTTAAATTATGTTACAATAATTTTTTTTTTTTTTTAAATTTTGTTTTGTAATAAGGGGGATGTCATAGGACAATGTGCCATGTCATGCGGTAGGGGCCTGGGCCGAAAGTAAAGAGTATAAAAGATGGCGTCTTGTATATTATTTTGTATTCTGCATTAGAAACTTAGATGGAGATCATTTATATCATTTAATAAAGTATAGCAATATCACAACATTTACTGAATTTCAAGTTCAGCAAATCAATATTAAAGAATTTAGCTTTGAACTGAACATTTTAATTGCAAGCTGGACAATGATGCATGTTCTGTATAGTATAATATTCGGAGTTAACTGTTTGCATGATAGGATAAAAGGTTATTTTATATAGGTTTAAATTATGTTACAATAATTTTTTTTTTTTTTTTAATTTTGTTTTGTAATAAGGGGGATGTCATAGGACAATGTGCCATGTCATGCGGTAGGGGCCTGGGCCGAAAGTAAAGAGTATAAAAGATGGCGTCTTGTATATTATTTTGTATTCTGCATTAGAAACTTAGATGGAGATCATTTATATCATTTAATAAAGTATAGCAATATCACAACATTTACTGAATTTCAAGTTCAGCAAATCAATATTAAAGAATTTAGCTTTCAAAATCTGACATCTCATATAAGGGAAAAATTGCTATTTTGGACAATTGGTTTCAAATTTTTTGACTTGAATGAAATGAACTGCTGGTCTAATATTCTGTTGTATGCTTTGTCAATCCCTTCTGAACATTCTTGCTCAATTTGAAATCTAGCGAATCAACATTAAAAAATTTGACTGTCAAGTCTGACACCTCATATAAGTGCTATTTTGGAAAATTGTTTTGAATTTTTTTTAACTCAATGAAATGAATTGCTGGTCTAATATTCTGTTGTATCCTTTGCCAATCTCTTCTGAACATTCTTACTGAATTTCAAGTTCAGCAAATCAATATTAAAGAATTAAACTTTCAAAATCTGACATCTCATATAAGGGAAAAATTGCAATTTTGGACACTTGGTTTCAAATTTTTTGACCTGATTGAAATAAACTGCTGGTCTAATATTCTGGTGTATGCTTTGTCAATCTTTTCTGAACATTCTTGCTCAATTTGAAATCTAGCAAATCAATATTAAAGGATTTAACTTTCAAAATCTGACACCTCATAAGGGAAAAATTGCCAATTTGGACAATTGTTTTGAATTTTTTTGAACTCAATGAAATGAATTACTGGTGTAATATTCTGGTGTATCATTTGTCAATCCCTTTTGAACATTCATACTGAATTTCAAGTCTAGCAAATCAATATTAAAGAATTTAGCTTTCAATGTCTGACACCTCATATAAGGGAAAAATTGCTATTTTAGACAATGGTTTTCAAATTTTTTGAACTGAATGAAATGAACAGCTGGTCTAATATTCTGTTGTATTCTTTGCCAATCCCTTCTGAACATTCTTACTGAATTTCAAGTCTAGCAAATCAATAGTAAAGAATTTAGCTTTCAATGTCTGACATCTCATATAAGGGAAAAATTGCTATTTTGGACAATTGTTTTGAAATTTTTTGAACTGAATGAAACGAACTGCTGGTCTAATATTCTGTTGTATCCTTTGCCAATCTTTTCTGAACATTCTTACTGATTTTCAAGTTCAGCAAATCAATATTAAAGAATTTATCTTTCAAAATCTGACATCTCATGTAAGGGAAAAATTGCTATTTTGGACAATTGGTTTCAATTTTTTTTTATCTGAATGAAATGAATTACTGGTCTAATATTCGGTCGTATCCTTTGTGAATCCCTTCTGAACAATCTTACTGAATTTCAAGTCTAGGAAATATATATTTCGGACTCTAGAGTCCGAATTTTTTAAAATTCCAATAACTCTGCGAATGCGCGAGCAAAAAACACAAAAATGCCACCAAAATATAGCTCGAGAAAAATACTATAACCCAATCGCTTCTGTTTTAATGCGGAAATTAATAAATATTTCTGTTAACCTGACAGGGCAGTGCAGCTGTCAAAATCATATCAAATTACAAGGTGAAATATAACTCGCGTTTGGAATTTCGTTATTTTCTTCGTTTTTTTTTATCCTTTCGTATTTTAACCGTTATATATAAACTAGAAATGCTTTAGTTATCTTTTCTGATAGTTTTTAAGTCAGGATGGTATGGCGTTCCGGTATGGACAAAATTATGACAGTTCGAACTACAATATCAAAGTCAATAATAAAATATGAAAGTTCATAATGCAAATACGAAACCGCAGACACAATATGATAGTCATACACAGCCAATATTAAAACACGTGTGATAAAAACCAAACAGAACGAAATAAATATCAAACTTGCACACAAAATATCAAAATCGCACACAAAATATCAAAATAGCACACAAAATATCAAAATTGCACACACAATATCAAAATCGCACACACAATATCAAAATCGCACACACAATATCAAAATAGCACACAAAATATCAAAATAGCAGACAAAATATCAAAATCGCACACACAATATCAAAATCGCACACACAATATCAAAATCGCACACAAAATATCAAAATAGCACACAAAATATCAAAATAGCATACACAATATCAAAATCGCACACAAAATATCAAAAGAGTGATAGATAAAAATAGCACATAAAATTTAAAACTATAGTTTGCACAGAAAATATGAATACGGGAACGCAAAATATCAAATTAATAGGACGATATGGACGAAGAGGTACGTGACGTAACCTCATTTCGAAACCGGAAACGTAAAAAGCAAGAATATCCGGTTTCTATAAAATAGGATTTTGCAATGGCAAACAGAAATCTAAGAGGTTTTCATGTTACAGAATTTTTTAGATCATTACAAAATATACTAACACTTTCCGTAGAAAATAGATCATTTGATTCTGCGGAGTATTTCCTGCGACGGCTTGACGAATTAGAAAGAACTTTAAACGTGCTTTTTCAGAGAATCCGCGAAGCATATCCAAGGGAATATCAACTGGTGTCGGACTTGAGAGGGTTATTAGAGATCGTAAGTCAAAGAAGGCAGTACTTCTATGCGCTGTCATTCCGTAGTGTATTTGATGAAGATGAACAGAATACAAGATCAGTGACAATTAGTGTGAGTAGGTCAGGCGAAGCTGGCCGACCCAGGCTTGACATTTCGGAGAATATTCTCCAATGTCTCCATAATGGAGCTGGGTTTCGTTGGGCGGAAATTGCGCGAAGTTTGGGGGTATCTGAAAGAACTTTGAGGCGACGGCGACAACAGTATGGCATGAGCACTGGTGCGAATGGGGACTTTTCAAATGTGCAAGATGTGCAGCTCGATCAATTAGTAAGACAAATTTTGCATATCACTCCAGGTATTGGGTACAGATTGGTGCAAGGAGCCCTCCGCCAGCGCGGAGTTCGGATTCAGAGATGGCGCGTTCTTCAGTCATTGCGAAGAATTGATCCAGTTACTGCAACATTACGCGCATCTAGAACCATAATTCGTCGTAGATATTCAGTTCCTTGTCCAAATGCATTATGGTAAGTTTGGGTATATTTTTGCTTAAGTCACTGTATGTGCGGGTTTTGTAGCACGTAGAGAGGACGTGCGACTAATATGGGTGATAATTGTGAACCAATTGTCGCATAGTTTAACCACACTCACTTCCATGGTTGTCTGAAAAATTAATAAATAAACCCTGGTTCACACGTGTCCTAATTTGGATAAGGTACTAGCAATTTTACATGCTTACTATACATTATAGTTTTTATTCATTACTTTATGGTCAAATCTATAGGCACTTGGATGGAAACCACAAATTGATACAGCCGTATCGCTTTGTCATCCATGGAGGTATAGACGGATATTCCAGATTAATAGTTTTCTTAAGAGCGTCAAATAACAACAGAGTATCAACCGTCTTCAGTGCTTTTCAAGAGGCTGTCACACAGTATAACATTCCCTCTCGTGTGCGAACAGATCTTGGATTAGAAAATATCCAAGTAGCGAGGTTTATGGTAAATACACGGGGTGTAAATCGCGGTAGCATTATCACAGGAACATCAGTTCATAACCAACGAATAGAAAGACTATGGCGTGAAGTAAACAGTATTGTTTGCTTGCGATTTCAAGACATTTTTGTTGCTCTTGAAAGAATGGGCTTTGACACAACGAACGAGAATCATTTGTTTGCATTACAAGTAGCATATCTTCCCATGATTAATGAAGCCCTAGAGCAACTGAGATTGAGCTGGAATTGTCATCCTCTAAGCTGGGAGAATAACCTAACACCAAGACAACTGTGGGTTCATGGAATGCTTCATTCAGCGGACTCTGGGCACACAGCAACAGAGAGTGTATTAAACGATGATCAAATTGATTTGGCCAACTATGGGATAGATGAGGATGGCCCTCTACCTGAGGAGCAGATAAATTATGCTGTTAATGTTCCTCCTCCGCCCTTTGAATTACAAGAAGAAGAATTGCAACAGCTTGAAATTGCTAGGCAAAATGCGCAAGCATATGGTGATCCTGACGGCATTATCTCATTCTTTTCAGTACTTCATTTACTAGAACAGCTTTTAGAATAAGAAATCCACGTTACAAGAGTATCTTGAAAAAAGCATTTGTAAATACAATAATGTCGATACCAAATTAAACCTGTAGGTCATCATTAACTAAATTCAATGCTATATATATAAGATTAAAGCAATCCTAAATGTACAGTAATCGCAGTATGCATATTCCAGGATAGTTTGTAATAACATGAAGGTTTGATATAAAAACAATTGTGATTTGGTTGTCATACTTGCGAGTACAAAAATCACGCATGCAAGATTGTAAACTTTTTAGCCGTTTGTAAAAAAATATGCATAATGTTTTTTGCAATTTATGTTGTTTTGAAAAAAACCCATGAATTCTACGCATTCAAACCTTCATTTCTTGCAGCCTATCATCTCTATGCATGAATGGTTTTATGCTAACGAAAAGAAAACAACTCGTTTCAAATACGCGCCGCGGGTCTCTCCCATGCGTGTATATACGCAATGCAGGCGTTATATTAATTAACAAAACAGGAAAAAAAATGTTCACGTGTGAGTGTACAAACTGGATGTTACAAAGTGTTTCAGCATCATAGCAGGAAATCACACAATTCCAAATCCCATTTTCTGTATTGCAAGAGCTGAATCAAGACTTCTCTTCAGTTCGGCGAAAGAACATACGAGTCCTGGTAATTCAAGTTCTTGAGGACATGTATTTGCATTTGGATAAGTTGATTCATTCTGTAATATGGTAATGACTGAAGGGTTATGGAACCCCATGGGAGGAATTGTGGCACATCCAGTCGAAAACATCAATAAATCGCTAAGAGTCTCGTCTAAAAAAGCATAATAAACAATGCAATTACATCTTCAATGGAATAAATAATGCAAATTATAAAGGAACTGCCATAACTTGACACAAGAATTTGTAGGCATGGCGACCAAGGGCCGGTTGTATGATAGCCCGATAGCTGCTATCCACCGGATAGTGATTTTTTCAATCGCTTTAAAATCGCCCGTTGTTTGGGTATAACTTTGAATAAATCTTATTATTCTTAAATTGAGGTTCCTCTTTAACAACAGTTAGTTCCAAAGCTAAAATTTTATCGCGATTCAAGCCTTTTTAGAACGGTTAAAAAAAATCACTATCCGGCGGATAGCGCTATCCGGCTTTCATACAACCGGCCCCAAATTTGTAGATCATATCCCGTTTGAATGTAGGCCATACTCGTAGCTTTTAAATTAATTAAACAAGAAAATAATTTAAAATGTGAGTATGTGTGAACTTTTACTAATCCGTGCCGTACCAAATATCGCAGGTACCAACTGTACCATAGCATGATAGCAACTTTTAAGTTGTTATAAATACCAAATATAACAGGGCTTAAGTTGCTATCATGCTATGGTACAGTTTTATTGCATCCGGACCTTGCAGCCGGTAAATAACACACACATACACCACACAAAATTCAATAGTTATTATGAACATAAATTAATCATGACTTACTATCCGACGTAGTCAAATACTCTTTAAAATATTCTACAATGCTCGATTCCACATCAACAAATTCCATAATTGAAAGCAATTCCTCTGATGTGGGCAGTTTTGCTTCTCCCCTCAAGAGAAAACATTCAGTTTTGACCGGATATTTCTTGATGACCGTATGCAGCGGCCCAAGTCCCCTTATAAACTGATCAAGCTCTGCTTTCCTTGAGAGCAAAACATTATGCAGACACAAGGACGTTATTGCATGGTAAACGTTTTCTGTGGATAACTTGTGCGGAAATCCGGAATCGATTATCAGTGGCTCAACCTCGCGAGCTATTTTTGTGAATGTGTCAGGAGTGATTGCATCGAGCTACCAAATAATAAAATAATTTGATGAGAAACAAAGATCCACATCAAAAACTGTTAGAGTAGTTCTCTCTTTATGAAATATACTTAATTTTCTTATATATATTAACAAATATTTGCAATAATCTCGAACGGAACTGAAAAAGAAATTTCGTCAAAGTTAACACATAGCCTCCTCCGCAGCCTAATAAATGCCTAATAAATTTGCCTATAATAAATTCCTAATATAAATACATAAGAGGTGACTGCGTAGAAGGCTAGGCAACATTGCCAAACACGGTTTTTTGCCATCATGCAATACTGAATGAACTTGTTTTATAGCACTAACGCGGGTTTGCCTTATGTCATTGTCTTTACTCGCTTTGTTGTAAAGAGAATTTATTGTACTAAAGCGAGGCTCTGTAAATTGTGACAGACAAAGATAATAATAGCATAAGCGAAAAGTCCGAATATTAAGTTCTATTGTAATTGTATGTAAATAGTTCGCACCTTATTTATTGCTTCAATGACTTCAAAATCAACCACATCATCTTTGGAGATGTATTCTGTGACAAGATTAGTATCTTGACATTGAATATACTTCCAAACAGCTGTAGAGAAATGAGGAAAACCTGGGCCCCCATTCATGATTGATGCAGCTACCATTCGGCCAACAACTTCAAATAATTTTGATCGCAACGCGTCTGTATTATGCAAAGGAAGATAGTTTCCACCATTTCCTTCAAATAAACGTACAACCGAATCTGGAGAAAGAAGCTCTCTCAAGAGAAGGGTGAAAAATTCCCGCTTTTGGACCGCCCCCGTCGATTGCTGGTTCCCCTTCGAACGTTACCATAACAGGGACACTGATATCAAAATTTCTCTGCTTAAAACAGCGATGCTGTCTGGTAATATTGTATTCCTGTTGACGACAAAACGCCTTGGCGGACCTGTAGACTTCGGAATGACACCTCTTATCAATTCATTCAGTGAACTTTCAGGGGATAATTCGCTCTCTTTGTTATCATCCCCTTAGAAAAAGAAAAGTTTGACCACTAGAAAGATTATGAAATCTTCATGCAGTTTATCAAGTAACAGTACAGCAGGTAAGTAACAGTACAGCAGATAAGTACTTACACCTCTTGTAATGTGTTACACCTATGGAATTATAGAAATATATTTCCTGCATTTTGAAATTGAAAGTAATGGTAAGTATAAGTTACAAACCTGCAATCTCAGAAACCCCGGTCTGTTGGACGACATAATCTACTGCCTCTCCTAAATTTGCACTTTTTTCAATCGCTGCGTTCAGTACTTCATCAGAAGACATTGGGAACATTTCTTTCAACCTTTCTATCTCGAAATCAAATAGTTGGCACGTACTGGAAGAGCATCCTTTGTCTTCATCATCAATTGTCATTGAAACGATTGAACTTGTCGACGGCTGGTCAGAAATAAAAGCATATTGTCGAATATCTTCACCAGTTTTTGTTTCTCCAACAGCAAAATCTTCACCTTCAGATAGATCCTTAAAAATGACAAGTAAAAATTATGAATGTAATAACATAGTACAGCGCATCTTACGTTGATAATCAACCGAAGTTGAGTAGATTTCGAAACCTTCGGGGGCGCGGCGCATTTGATTGCAAATGGCAGTTTTGGGCGCAATACATCAATTGCAATGGCATGAGGGAAATACAGGATAGAAAGAGACTAAGGGGGAAAAAGAAGTCAATTACAATTCCATATTAAAAGACACCTGCCTTCTAAAAGAACCTGCAACCAGAGAGGCCTAATTTAATTTGGCAAGGGCACAAGTTTACTTACATCTTCAATTTCATTTTGATTAAAGTCGTCAATATTTGCGCATGCTCTGATATATATTGGGCCATTGCCAGCAATATGTTTTATAGTTTTGCCATTAACCTCGTTCCCTTCAGGCAGTTTGACTTTTGTGATAGTGTTTCCCACTGCCTTAACAAATTCAAAACTAGAAGAAAAAATAAAACAATATATTTTTCAATTCACAATGTTATTGGAAAGCCATAATTCAAGCGTATAAATAAACATCTCTATAAACTAACAATTAAAACAGACAGAAATTTTGAGAAGTTGTATCTTCTACAATAACTTTACCTAAAAAGGTGAAGGTTTATATTAGGTTAAGACCGTAATATTAAAACTAGACAAATAACCTACAAGAAACCCCACAAAAAATATACGGTGGTCACCGGCAGATACAATCGTCCTTTTACTTTCAACTACGCTACTTACTCGTTGACTGTCTTCAAATGTTCTTTAAATAAGATCAATATTTCATTTTTCAACTTTTCCTCTGACCAAGTCTTATTAAGAGTCCATGCATCAATGAACATGTTGTTACGAACTAAATTTTGTTTTTTGTCCCTTCTTGGAACATCAGCCCATGAGGGACTCGGTAAAAGCACACGTCTTTCAATATAAAATCAAGTTGCGAGTTTGAAGTCTTTTTTTCTTTTCCTTTCTTCGCTTTTCTACCGCTGTAAGGTGTAAATCGCCCATTTCTTGATCTCGGAACAATTGGTTCCTGACCGCTTGTTGTTCTCGGAAGACGAAAAGCGTCGTTGACTTCTTGTTCAGGCGTTCTTGTGGAGCTTTGATTACCGATGGTATTCGCTGCATTTTGACATGCTTGTGTATTCGGGTCTAAATTATTTATTGAGGTCACAACTCTCCGAACTATTTCTGCTATGTTATTGACTCCCGCCATATTGTGCAGAATAAAACGACGTAAACAACACGGGCTTGCTGCCTTGCTCCTTCCCAAGCGTGTAAAATGGAAAATACAGTAATAGTTACCGGAAACCGGATATAGTTGCGCCTTCCGTTTCCGGAAGTGAATGTACTCACTGCATTGTGTGTGTGGGTGGGCGATTTTGATATTGTGTGTGCGATTTTGATATTGTGTGTGCGATTTTGATATTTTGTCTGCTATTTTGATATTTTGTGTGCTATTTTGATATTGTGTGTGCGATTTTGATATTGTGTGTGCGATTTTGATATTGTGTGTGCGATTTTGATATTTTGTGTGCTATTTTGATATTTTGTGTGCGATTTTGATATTTTGTGTGCAAGTTTGATATTTATTTCGTTCTGTTTGGTTTTTATCACACGTGTTTTAATATTGGCTGTGTATGACCATCATATTGTGTCTGCGGTTTCGTATTTGCATTATGAACTTTCATATTTTATTATTGACTTTGATATTGTAGTTCGAACTGTCATAATTTTGTCCATACCGGAACGCCATAGGATGGCCAGAAAAACTCGAAAAATATCGATTTGTTATTGTTTGTAGCGCAGGCACATGCGGTTGTCGCGTGAGGTTCGAGGTGTCAAAAACTTAACCTTGCCTTACCCCCTAGGGGTAAAATAAGCCCGGAAATCGATTCCTGGGGTAAAAATGTCCCTAGAAGTCATATATTCGGCCTTTTTGGAGCGAAAATTTTCCGATTTTTTGTCAAATTTTCTCCAATATGGTGATAATTATACGCAAATTTTCGGATTTTCCCTTTGTAAACACGTTTGTTGGAAATATCATTACCAATGGCCAAAACGACTGTATTTCAAGCAAAATAGATAGAAATATTGATCACAATGTAAGCTACAAGTATTTTTTAGGTTTTTAGGCGAGATTTCTGGAAGGCTTTGCGTATTTACGCTTCTCTAAAATTCAATTTAAAAAGTACAAGATCGGCAATAAATATCTTGGCTCATAAGAAAGCTCTTGAAATGAACTAAACTTATACAAATAGATAAATGTTTTAGCTTTAAGATAATACAATTTCTGGTTGATTTTGTAAAATACTTGCAGATAAAATCGAAATTTTTTGCGTGCGTCGTTTACGACCCGACCGCAATGAGTTAAAGAATTTAGCTTTCAAAATCTGACACCTCATATAAGGGAAAAATTGCTATTTTAGACAATTGTTTTTACATCTTTTGAACTAAATGAAATGAACTGCTGGTCTAATATTCTGTTGTATCCTTTGCCAATCTCTTCTGGACATTCGTACTGAATTTCAAGTTCGGCAAATCAATATTAAAGAATTTAGCTTTCAAAATCTGACATCTCTTATAAAAGAAAAATTGCTATTTTGGACAATTGGTTTCAAATGTTTTGACCTGAATGAAATGAACTGCTGGTCTAATATTCTGTTGTATGCTTTGTCAATCCCTTCTGAACATTCTTGCTCAATTTGAAATCTAGCAAATCAATATTAAAGAATTTAACTTTCAAAATCTGACACCTCATATAAGGGAAAAAATGCTATTTTGGACAATTGTTTTGAATTTTTTTTGAACTCAATGAAATGAATTGCTGGTGTAATATTCTGTTGTATCCTTTGTCAATCCCTTTTGAACATTCATACTGAATTTCAAGTCTAACAAATCAATATTAAAGAATTTAGCCTTCAATGTCTGACATCTCATATAAGGGAAAAATTGCTTTTTTAGACAATTGTTTTGAAATTTTTTGAACTAAATGAAATAAATTGCTGGTCTAATATTCTGTTGAATCCTTTGCCAATCCCTTCTGAACATTCTTACTGAGTTTCAAATTCATCAAAACAATATTAAAGAATTTAGCTTTCAATGTCTGACATGTCATATAAGGCAAAAATTGCTATTTTCTACAATTGTTTTCACATCTTTTGAACTGAATGAAATGAACTGCTGGTCTAGTGTTCTGTTGTGTTCTTTGTCAATCCCTTCTGAACATTGCTACTGAATTTCAAGTTCAGCAAATCAATATTAAACAAGTTAGCTTTTAAAATCTGTCACCTCATATTGGGCAAAAATTGCTATTTTAGACAATGGTTTTCAAATTTTTTAAACTGAATCAAATGAACTGCTGGTCTAATCTTCTGTTGTGTCCTTTTTCAATGCCTTTTGAACATTCTTACTGAATTTAAAGTTCAGCAAATCAGTATTAAAAAATTTAGCTTTAAAAATCTGACACCTCATATACGGGAAAAATTGCTATTTTGCACAAGGGTTTTCAAATTTTTTGAACAGAATGAAATAAATTACTGGTCTAATATTCGTATGTATCCTTTGTCAATTCCTTCTGAACAATCTTACTGAATTTCAAGTCTAGGAAATATATATTAAAGAATTTAGCTTTCAAAATCTGACATCACATATAAGGGAAAAATTGATATTTTGGACAATTGGTTTAAAATTTTTTGACATCAATGAAATGAACTGCTGGTTTAATATTCTGTTGTATGCTTTGTCAATCCCTTCTGAACATTCTTGCTCAATTTGAAATCTAGCAAATCAATATTAAAGGATTTAACTTTCAAAATCTGACACCTCATATAAGGGAAAAATTGCTATTTTGGACAATTGTTTTGAATTTTTTTTTAACTCAATGAAATGAATTGCTGGTGTAATATTCTGTTGTATTCTTTGTCAATTCCTTTTGAACATTCATACTGGATTTCAAGTCTAGCAAATTAATATTAAAGAATTTAGCTTTCAATGTCTGACACCTCATATAAGGGAAAAATTGCTATTTTAGACAATGGTTTTCAAATTTTTTGAACTGAATGAAATGAACAGCTGGTCTAATATTCTGTTGTATTCTTTGCCAATCCCTTCTGAACATTCTTACTGAATTTCAAGTCTAGCAAATCAATAGTAAAGAATTTAGCTTTCAATGTCTGACATCTCATATAAGGGAAAAATTGCTATTTTGGACAATTGTTTTGAAATTTTTTAAACTAAATGAAATAAATTGCTGGTCTAATATTCTGTTGTATCCTTTGCCAATCCCTTCTGAACATTCTTACTGAGTTTCAAATTCAGCAAAATAATATTAAATAATTTAGCTTTCAATGTCTGACATGTCATATAAGGCAAAAATTGCTATTTTCTACAATTGTTTTCACATCTTTTGAACTGAATGAAATGAACTGCTAGTCTAATATTCTGTTGTATCCTTTGCCAATCTCTTCTGGACATTCGTACTGAATTTCAAGTTCGGCAAATCAATATTAAACAAGTTAGCTTTTAAAATCTGTCACCTCATATTGGGCAAAAATTGCTATTTTAGACAATGGTTTTCAAATTTTTTAAACTGAATCAAATGAACTGCTGGTCTAATATTCTGTTGTGTCCTTTTTCAATGCCTTTTGAACATTCTTACTGAATTTAAAGTTCAGCAAATCAGTATTAAAAAATTTAGCTTTAAAAATCTGACACCTCATATAAGGGAAAAATTGCTATTTTGCACAAGGGTTTTCAAATTTTTTGAACAGAATGAAATAAATTACTGGTCTAATATTCGTTTGTATCCTTTGTCAATCCCTTCTGAACAATCTTACTGAATTTCAAGTCTAGGAAATATATATTAAAGAATTTAGCCTTCAAAATCTGACATCACATATAAGGGAAAAATTGCTATTTTGGACAATTGTTTTGAAATTTTTTGACCTGATTAAAATAAATTGCTGGTCTAATATTCTGCTGTATGCTTTGTCAATCCCTTCTGAACATTCGTACTGAATTTCAAGTTCAGCAAATTAATATTAAAGAATTTAGCTTTCAAAATCTGACACCTCATATAAGGGAAAAATTGCTATTTTCGACAATTGTTTTGAAATTTTTTGAACTGAATGAAATGAACTGCTGGTCTAATATTTTGTTGTATCCTTTGCCAATCTCTTCTGGACATTCTTACTGAATATCAAGTTCAGCAAATCAATATTAAAGAGTTTAGCTTTCAAAATCTGACATCTCATATAAAAGAAAAATTGCTATTTTGGAGAATTGGTTTCAAATTTTTGGAACTGATTGAAATGAACTGCTGGTCTAATATTCTGTTGTATCCTTTGCCAATCTCTTCTGAACATTCTTGCTCAATTTGAAATCTAACAAATCGATATTAAAGAGTTTTAGCTTTCAAATCTGACATCTCATATAAAAGAAAAATTGCTATTTTGGAGAATTGGTTTCAAATTTTTTGAACTGATTGAAATGAACTGCTGGTCTAATATTTTGTTGTATCCTTTGCCAATCTCTTCTGGACATTCTTACGGAATTTCAAGTTCAGCGAATCAATATTAAAGAATTTAGCTTTCAAAATCTGACATCTCATAAAAGGGAAAAATTGCTATCTTGGACAATTGGTTTCAAATTTTTTGACCTGAATGAAATGAACTGCTGGTCTAATATTCTGTTGTATCCTTTGCCAATCCGTTCTAAACATTCTTACTGAATTTCAAGTTCAGCAAATCAATATTAAAGAATTTAGGCTTCAAAATCTGACTCTCATATACAGGAAAAATTGCAATTTTGGACAATTGTTTTGAAATTTTTTGACCTAATT